ATCAGATCTTGCATGTGCTCAAGGTGACTTAGTGAGGCAGTGATGATCAATATTTCAACCTACCATTGCAACGTTAGGCATTTAATCTTATTTAGAAGTCAGGTAAGCATTCTTATTTGATGATTAAATGTACTTCCACACCTTGATGGCACCTCACACATTACCCACCATGCTTTACAATCAGCCCTCCATCTCATCCTGCATCGGCAGCTAAGAGGGTTTTGGAAGGGCCCAAACCTTGCTTTCTATTTTACTTTCAATTAATTCTCATAATAAAAACAAATAAAGCCCCTTATCTTATTTTTTTTTAATCCCAGCATGGTTTTTACAACATCTCAAAAGGAAGAAGAACCCTCAAAAAGAAAAATTATGGATGAAGGAAGATTGTTTAATGAAAAATACAGATGACTACTTTTTTGTGGAGGCAAATAGTACGGGACTGTGCTTAATTTATAGCGAATTTGTGCAGGCTTTCAAAGACTGTGATTTGAAAAGGCATCATATGCAAAAACATGCTGCCAGATTCAATGTGTATGAAGGATTGTGTCATAAGGACAAGAGTGGAACCGGAGAAAAGTTTGTCTTCTCAAAAATTTTTTCAAAAAGTTTCAACTCTGGCAGATTCCATTGTAAAAGCTAGTTATGTGGCAGCATATTTAATAGCAAAAAAATCAAAACCATTTATTGATGATGTGTTTATTGAGCAGTGTATAGAAAATGTGGCAGATAAAATTTGCCCTGAAAAAAAGGAGGATAATTCTAAAACCAGTTTGTTTCACCAGACTGTAGCCAGGGGAATTGTAGAAATTGGAAAATCTATCGAAAGACGTTTGGAGAATAAAGCTGTTAATTTTAAATTTTATGCTTTGGCGATGGATGATAGCACTAATGCAGATAGGGCTCAACTTGTCATTTTTATTAGTATTGATGACAATTACAATGTCAATGAAAAATGGCTCCTTCCGTGCCATTAAAAGACAACTAAATCAAGAGATATATACGAAACAATAAAAAAATGTTAAAAGCGATTTTCTTTGTCTATTGTGAGCGTATCTGGTATAGTTACTGATGGTGCTCTGGCAATGGTAGGTAAAAGATAGGGACTTGTAAAATTAATAGAAGATGACGCAGTTGTGGCCCAAAACTCATGTTTGATGAAGTATCATTGCATAGTACATCAAGAAAATTTAGTGAATTTAACTGCTAATTTAAATGAGTTAAACATGCATCTTCAAAGTGAAAACCAACTTACCAATACTATGTTTAAAACCCTAATGGTATTCTAAATGAAACTGAAATTATGGCAAGCTCAAATTAAAGCAAACAATTTTACGCATTTCAGCAATTTGGCTAAACACAATCCTGTGAACAGTGAAAAATATGCAGCCTTGCTTTTCAATATGATACAAGAATTTGAAAACAGGTTTAAAGATTTCCAGGAAAATGCTATATTTGCGACTCCATTTTCAGTTGTCATAAGTACGCTACCTGCCAATTTTCAAATGGAACGCATGGAGCTGCAATCTGACATTCAGCTTAAAAATTTGATCATGTCTCTACTGGGCTTTATAGGTCCTATCAGAAGCAAATACCCTGTACTTCACAGTTACACCTTATTCATGTCATCGCTATTTGGCAGCACCTGTATTTGTAAGCAACTGGTTTCAAGAATGAAACACGTTAAGAGTAAAATTGGAACCAAGATATCTGATGGGCACCTTGAGAATTCACTGAGAATTGCAACTGTTATCAAACCAGATACTGATGCACTAGTTTCTCGGAGACATTGTCAGACATCCTGCACTAGTTTTATGTTGCCCTCTTTTCATTTATAATTTAAAAAATACAAAAAAAATATCAGTGATGTTTTATTACTTAGATACGTACATTTTCTATTTTAGTGATCACAAAGTGGAGGCCTGCTCAGCAATTTTAAAAGATTATTGAAAGGGCTGCTTGCATAATTAGGGTTATTATGTGAGGATGTGTTTGTTTATCTTTGGTGGCAGATATCACAAAAATTATGCATGAACCTTTTTTGGGGGGCTCATCAGTTTTTGTTAATGTTTGTATATTTAATGTGTGGCCCAAGACAACTCTTTTCCTTCCAGTGTGGCACAGAGACGCCAAAAGTTTGGACACCCTTGCTTTAGGTGTTCTTTTAGTGTAGATCACCCTGTGACAGATTTCTTTGTCTTGGTAATGACACTTTTGGGTTTATATCAATTGGGGGTTGCTGAGTTTTTTGAATCTGTAGGTTTACGTCTCTTCTCAAGTTTGGGAAATTTTCAGCCATTGTTTCATTCAGTACTTGTTCAGACCTGCTTTCTTTGTTCTCTTCTTCCTGGAACTTGATGAATCAAGTGTTAGATATTTTGTTAGATGCCACGCATCCCTAGGACTCCCCTCATTTTATCTTTTTTTTGTCTTTCAGATTTGGTGATTTATATTGTTCTGTTTGCCTGTTCACTGATTCTTTTTCTATCCCTTCTGTTCTGCTCTTGAGCCCATCCTCTAACCTTTTTATTTCAATCATTTTTTAATTCCAAAACTTCGCATTTAATTTTCTTACATCTTCTGTTTCTTTGTTGAGGCTGCTTTTTCATTTATTTCAAGCAAGTTTGTAACTTCTTGTTAAAGCATTTTTACCATGACCATTTTAAAATCTTTTTCAGATAATTTTAACAGCATCTATTGTTTTCTATTTTTTAAAAATATAATTTCAGATCTGTATTTTGCCTGGTGTTTTTCACAAGTGTCAAGTGACTTTGAGTTGGAACCTGGACGTGTTCATGTTAAGCAGTGGGACTCTGCATCTTACTTATAACGTCTGTCTTAGTTGGATTTCTCTCACAGCTAGTCTGGCAGGGGAAGTGAAGGCACTGTCTTATTACTGGTGTTTGGCCTCCTTAAACCCCTTAAACACTTGGCATCTCCTTGTCACTGCTGGGAGTAGGAGTCTGGTTTCCCACATGCTTCCATTGACACTGCAGGTAGCGGAGGAGGAGGCTTCTTTATAGGCTAGCATGGGTGGAAGTCTAGGCTCCCCACTCAGCCTTCGCTGGCCTGGGTGGGGCCACAGTTTTTTCTTTGGTGTTTAGCTGGAGTAGAGCAATTACTGTCTAAAAGTTTTCTGTCCACCTAGGCTGTCTTCATGTTTTTCTTCATTCTTTGGCTTACAGAGATCAGGCTTTTATTGGAGCTTTTTCTTTTCTTTTTTTTTTTTTTGTTCGCACCCTTTGGCATTCCTAGCTTCTTTAGCTCCAACTCTAGGATATATGAGGCAGAAAGAAAGCCCAGGGAACTCACCATTTGTCCCTTGGGTCTCAGGGTCTCTAGCTGATCTGTCATCTTATTTGCACCTTTTAGAGTCGTCTTCTGTTTATTACACACTCTCATCGTCCAAGGTTTTTAGTTGTACTTAATGAGAAGAATAAGAAAAATTATATTTACTCCATGTCCCCAGAAGAAGTCAGTCAGTCTCAGTATTGACTTTCAAGAGCCTGCTAGACAAAGTAGCAATGTGTGAAATTTCAAAGATAGATTACAGGATCTGCACCCATTTTTATACAGAAACTTTGCTAATTGTAATTGAACCATATACACCCATAAAATAAGCCATCTCTTTGGCAGCATTGACTTGGAACATACTTAGGATTGCTTCTGTCCTTGTGGGATTCAGAAAGAAACAAAATAGGCTCTACTAAGTATGATCTTCCACCCTGATTGGGACAAAAAGACCATCATGTACAATATAATCAGGGAAATGCTAAATTGCACTACAGCCCGTAAAGTGGGAAAATAAACGTCATCAGCAAATGTGATCAGTTATAAACTAAATATACTTCTTTCAGTATTCTTATGAGCAGTTTGTTACAGACTTGCCCAGTTGCATTCAGTATTGTATTTGAAGCCTACCAGGTGCAGGTGCCAGGCCATTGTGTTTAAATCTAGGATATAAGTATTAATAAAATACACTCCTTGTTTTTAGGAGCTTTAGTTGGAGCTAAGGGTGGGAAGCAGGTATAAGAAGGCAAGAAGGCAGACCTTTAAAGTTACAGCAGTGCAGTGTGATACATGTTATGTTTATGGTAATTATGCTTACACAGAAGACAGATTTCTGCAAGGGTAGAGTCCTGAATAAGAGTCAAAGAAGGCAACAGATATGGTGACATGTTGTGCGTGGGGCATAACTAAAGACATAAAAACAACTGGGGTGGAAGAAGCATCCCATGCAAAGGACCCGACGTAAGGGAGCTTTGCAGAGAGAGTGGGGCAGAGCTTATAGTGAGGTTTCAGTGTTTTTTAGTAGGGTATACATAAGTTTATACATTTGCCAGTAACACAGCTGATTATTTTAAAATGTTTAGATTCGCACTGTTTGGTTTTTTTTTTTTTTTTGCTGTAATCCAACTCAATGAATTTTTATTGCACTAGGATAACAAATGTCCAGAAAGATCTTTAAAAGTATTGATGAATATGCAAGCGTTAGTGAGTGGTATATTCAGTAAATGCTAGATAGATAACTAGTTCTTTACTTAAACACTTTGTATACCTTTGTGTGTGTACCTTGATTTTTAAAAAAATTTCAGCATAAATTTGCATATATTTGAAGTTCTGTCCAGCTAATATAGAGTTTACTTTGCCTGGTTTTTACTGTCCTTCAGAAAGAGATTACATCATCATTTTCTTTAGAAGCCAGTTGTATACTCATGTAAAGGTAGTTTTTCCACATAGACCTCTATTCTGATTAGAGGGAGGTGTGGTGCTTTATATGTGAACATGATGTGTTCCTGCCTGCCTCCTCTAGAGTTTCCCTTTCAGATTTTACAGAACATGATAACTTCCCCAGAAAACTTAAGGTTAAACCAGAATATTGTCTCGTGTTTTTATATTGCCAAGATTGCTTATATTTGGGAATCTGTGCTTAGAAGAGTTTTAGAAAAAATGGTTTTGATTATATGGTCCACGTATTAATCTATTCTTATTTCTTATTGCAGATGGAGTCTGGTGGTACAGTTTTGAGTACCAACTGGTCTGATGTAGGTAAAAGGAAAGTTGAAATCAATCCTCCTGATGATATGGAATGGAAAAAGTACTAAATAAATTAATTTGCTATTACTGTATTGCATATATTCACCTAATGCCCATTGTGTATTAATACTGCATTCTTGAATTTTGAACACTGAGTATCTTTTGCAATGATTATACCTCTTTACCTCTGTGCTTTAGGAATTATTTTCCTTCAAGTGTTCTGAGTCTAATGAAGAATGAAAATCATATTTTATCACTCTCTTCTTAGGGATTTCAGACATGCTGAAATGGAGTGAAGTATCATTTGCTTTTAGATTAGATCTATACAGTTGTGGGAGTGGAGGAATTGTTCATGGGATATCTCGGGTTATTGCCTTATTTTTGATGCAGTATTTTGTTAATAATTTATCAGACCTGGCAACTTCGGGTGAGCATAGATTTTTCAACCTCAGTGTTACAGTGTTTGCTTTTGAAAACTGCTTTTGAAATGAGTTGTAAATACAGTTTTTTTGTATGAAGAAGTTTGGTTTATTTACCTTTTTTCTTAAGTTTTTAATGAAAACTTTGAGCAATTATTTATCACAGGGAATTCCCATTTGGTTCTTTTTATGTGAAGTATTTATAATTGCACTAATGTTTGGATTCTTACCTTTCAAATTCCTTTATAAAACACAGACACCTGAGTTTAACATGCTGCAAATTTAACTATCCTGAAGGCTAACCTGTGAAGATGAAAGCAGAGAGTGATTTAGGAAAGCCCAACTTCACTTCTTGCTGCTTTTTTGCCACAGTGGGATTCCTGAAATTATAGCACTGGTGGTTTGGTTTTTTCAGGGTTTGTTATTTCTTTTTTTGTATTTTTTTTTCTTTATTAGAAAATCTCATATACCCTTGATTACTTTGGTTTCATTGGATTAGGGTAGCTGCTGAGAATATAACTTAATATGTAAATATTTAGTATCTATTTAGTAACATTTTATAGTAAGGCACTACTTTGCCCTGATATGAGGATAGAATGAATGGGAGGCAAATCAGCCATCATTTCAGCCTCTGAAAGAGTATAAATTTAGCCTCTTCTGGTCACTGGACATGAAGTGTAGGGTTGTTCATAAGGAAAATAGTGGGGTGACACCAGACCATGCCCAAACCTGTCACAGCTTTTATAAACATGTGGTAGAGGGAGGAGTTTACCTGTCTTGCCCTTTTAGAGCTACAGACTACATTTTTTTATTGTTGAACATTGAAAGAAAAGGCAAAATTAAGTTCTTGATTATCTGAATTTCTAAAATTTTCTCCTTCAGGAAAACGTTAGTGAATTCTGCGTTCTCTATGTTAAATTTTCTCAGTGCCATTAGTCCTAAGAGGTATGCAGGCTGTTGCTGCACAGGAGATGTCAGGGATGAATAGAGCACTACACCAGAGACAAGAATCCCAGATTTAGCAAGTCTCTGCCACTAAGTAGCTGTATTATCAGGTTTAGGCTTTCTGTCTTACCGGTAGTTGCTGCATCTGTAAATAATCTATAAGGTCTTAAAGTTATAATTAAAAGTAACATGAGCCCTAGCTGGGTAGCTCAGTTGGTTAGAGTATCGTCCCCAGTACACCAAAATTGCAGGTTCAATCCCTGGCATACAACAAGCAACCAATGAATACATAAATAAGTGGAACAACAAAAAGATTGATATTTCTCTCTCTCTCCCTCTCTCTCTCTCTCTCTCAACAATAAAAATAAAAGTCTGTGATTCTAAATATAGAAACATTTTTGCCACTTGGAGTAACTTTTTTCTTTGTTAAGAATGACAGTATTATAATAGAAATTTGCCTTTTTTACAAAAAATAAGTATTAGTTTTTCTTGTGTTTTAAAGAATACATTATATCTAAAGTGCTTACCTATAGGCGAGGTTTGTTTAGTGTTGTGGGATTCAGAGTTTTGCTGAGCCAAGTGGAGTTTCTAATATACATGACTTATATTACATTATAAAATGTACCAGATCTAAATATAGTACATTTATTGGTAAAGAAAGGAATTTGAAGAAGTAAGTTAGATTGTTGTCCTTTAGTACTGCTTTTTTTTTTTTCAGCATTACAATGAAAATTTTCAAGCCTCCAGAAAGTTAAAGACTTAATTTTGATTAAGAACCCCTTAACTTTATGCTCTGTTATCTTAGCTTTGCTATTAATTGGTCTCATTTTCTTTCTAGACTCCTATTTTCAGTTCTCAAATTTTGGTTCTCTTACTACTCCCGGTTAACGTTTTGTTTCTCAAAATGTATATGTTTTTCACGTAGTATTTCTTTTTAAGTTTCAGTCCTGGAATCCTTTTTTTTTTTTTCCCCTTAATCTTAAATTCTTCATCTGTTTTCCCAATTTCTATAATCACTTGCACCTTGATGACTTCCCAGAATTTTCCCACTGTCTTCAAAGAATCTCGATGGGATAATCTGCTTCTTTGAGTTCTGCTATCAAGTAACCTCTTAGGTGGCTATAAAATAGGTTTGAAACACCAGGGTCAATTTCGATAATTCTGTTTTGTATCTCATCCACTTGGAATTGGTTGCTAACTGATAATAAGTTCAGTCTTTAATATTGGCAATTACTGGCCACTTAAATCTGCTTTTTCTATCTTTATAAGAAATCGAGGGAAAAGATGGTTTGCACTGATAACTACAATTTTAAAAAAATATTCTCATTCCTTAGATTTGTGATAGTCACTAACTGCAGAAAATTGAATCCTTGTTGTTACTGACTTTCTGACTCTGGAAGAGAAGAATTTCTTACAGGCTACTACTATATGGGAAAAGAAAGAAAAGAATTGGACTATTGTATAAAAATTTTCTAGATAAATATCAATAAACATTTTAAATGGAGGTATGTTACTATTGTTATGAATAGTTTAATTTTAATTTAGTTCAATACCTAACATATTTAGTTATACTTTCCCTTTTTACCTTCCTTCTTCCCCAGTTACCTACATTATCACTTTATGTCATTGATCTCTGAGATATATCACTGACCCAGAGCAGTATTGCCTATTATTAATTTATCATCTGATCTGCCCAGTGCACTTTAATTCTGTTGGGATCTTTGTTCAGATTAGTGTGCAGCTCTCTGACTTTTAGCAATTATTGACATTTCCAAAATTAGGTAGAAAATTTCTGGGTGGATTGTGTATGTGTTTTTGTTTGCTGTGAGAGCTACTTTTCTTTGTAATCAGCTCTAGAGAAGTTTATCTTTGCACTCATACTTACTTTTACAGTCCTGTAAGAAGACAAATTCCAGTTATATCTGCCTTGGAGGGAGGAAACAAGGAAGAAAGAATGATAAAAGCTAAAAGGACAAAATAATGGTTTCTCTGTCGGGAAGTCCTGTGTAGTTTTATTTTTTTTGTTATTTTAAAATTTTTTATTTAATTAAAATTGACATGCAGTATTAGTTTCAGGTATACCTCATAGAGATGAGACATTTATATAACTTATGAAGTGATCACCGTGATAAGTCTAGTACCCATCTGACACTGTACATAGTTATTACTGACTAAATTCCTTATGCTGTACTTTACATCCCCATGACTGTTTTTATAACTGGCAGTTTACACATCTTATCCCTTCCCCTTTTTATTAAGAGGGATCATCAGTATTCATCTGGTTTCCTTTGTCTCCAACTATGCATATTCTGTTGTAAGATCATTTTATACACACCAAGAGATTTTATCTTGAAAATGTTTAGGAACATGTAGATAAATTGGAGATACTGAATTACTCACAGATGTTATTATTTGGAGTCATCCTTGTAATTTGCTTCTAAAATTACTTTAACTCTTAACCTGTCTTCCTACCTCAGTAAACTTGCCCCCCAAATTAGCTAAAATCATATCTATGCTAACCCATTAGGGAAATAACAGTGGTAGCTATTCTGTACTAGTACTTTTTATGGGCCAGGTGTTACTAAGTGCTTTATATACACTACCTCATTTATAAAACCATTGTCAAGTAGTGCTAGCATGCTGTTAATACAGGGTTTTTTTTTTAATGAGGCTAAAGTTAAGTTCTTTGCCCAAATTCATTCCACTGACAAGTGAGGAAGCTGGGATTTGAATGCAGACCTGTCAGACTCCAGTACCCATGCATTTAACAGCTGTGACTACTATTTCAGGCAGATGTTGGGTGTGCAGTGTTTTTTTATTAATAAATCAACTTTTTGACAATGAAACAGAAAATGTGCAACTTGAATTACAGTTTTTTAAAATCCTCACCTGAGGACATATTTGTTTACTTTAGAGCGAGGGGAACATCGATCAGTTACTTCTTCTATGCCTCCCGACTGGGGATTGAACTAGCAACCTAGGTACGTGTCCTGACTGGGGATTGAACCTTCAACCATTTGGTGCATAGGACAATGCTCCAGTGCCCTGAGCCACATGACCAGGGCAAGTTGAATTATTTAGTAATTCTTGTACATGGGGTGGGAAGATACTATTAAAGATGAGAATACTATCAGTTTCTTAAGTAGGAAAGCTTATCAGGAATACAAATCTCTTTCCTGTAGTTCTGATTTGTGTTGAAGATGCTGTTTTTCTCAAATCCAGATTAATTGCAGAGAAACAAAATGTCGTTACAGCTGCTGTAGGTGTAAGATTGGCACATTATGCTGATCAAATTCTCTAAATGTGGGATCTCTTGCTCTAGTTTTCATTATATAAATAAATGCTAAGATTGTTTTGTTTTTTCCCTAAATACATGTAGTAGGGTCAGTGTATCACTGATTTCTTCAATAAATTTAGAATGATTCAGGTTTAGTCCTTTGTTCCAATTGTGTTAGCATTGTATATATAATCTGAATCTTAGGTTGTCCAGAATCTTCTAAATGTTACCTTTGCTGTGCCTTCAAATTAGAATTTTTAATTCTTTCTCTGCATTGAGACTTTCCATAACAATCATATTGACTTTATTTTTTCTTATTGTTATAAAACAGTACCATTTACCCAAAGGCAATTTTTAGTTTAACAAAAAGGAGGAAAATCATCTTCAGTGCCTATATGTGAGCTTTAAGAAACCATACTCTACAATGCATCTAAATAACAGTAAATTATTGCACACAGTATGTTTAATGCTCTGTTAAGTGCTTGAAAAGGCAGTATGTATAGTGGTTGCTTGGGATCAAATCCTGGCTACATTGCTTATTAGCTTAGTGACACAGTAGGCTGGTACTTGATATCTGTGCCTTAGTTTTTCAGTCTATGAAAATGAGCTGTTTTGGGTTGAATGAGTTACTATAATTCCAAAATTATTTCTCCAAGTCCAGAGGCTATAAAAACTAAATTTGGGTGTACATCACTCAGTAGTAGTACAAAACCTGATGTGAACAATATGAATAGTCATACTCTGCTGCAGGAACCACATGTTTAATTACAAAATGTTAGCACAGATCCTGCTTAGGTTGTCACAAAGTAGATGGTATATCTATATTGTAGTATTCTGAAATCTAAAATTCTGAATTTAGAAACACATCTGGTTCCTAGGGTTTTGAAAGAATTGGGTACCTGTCTATGTAAAATGCAAAGAGCAGTGTTTAATGTTACAGATAACATCAGCTTATTGTATATGCTTTTAGACTGAGGTTTAAATGCTGTTGAAAGCCTTTTTGTTAGTTTGATTCCTGGTCAGGGCACATGCCTAAGTTGCGGGTTCGGTGTCCGGTTGGAGCACACAGGAGAGGCAACTGATCGATGTTTGTCTCACACATCCATTTTCTCTCCCTTCCTGACTCTCTCTAAAAAATAAGTAAAAACTTTAAAAAATACATAAATTGAATCCTTCAAGATTCAGAATTCTGTCTGAGGAAAGTATATCAGCTAGTTAAAAATTGTTAGTTTAGTTTTTAAAAAAATTATACTTTGAGAGCATAAGAGTTCATAGAAAAGTTTTATATTTCAGCGAGTAGTTATTTTCATTTACTTAAGCAGACCTTAAATATTAAAAGTATTTTCAGCAGTACCTTAAAAAGAAAGTGTTAATAGTGGCAAAACATAGAAGGAGGGGACTCCTCAAAAATGGAATTTATTAAAAGATTGTATTCTTTTATATTTAAATGTCAGTCACCTTCAAAGTACATTTGATGCAGTACACCTACTGAAGCCTTTTTTCCCCCACTATTAAGACCAGTTTTTGAACTCAATTTTGATGCCTTTTACTGCTTCAGCTGATTTCTGTTTCACCTCTTCCACATCAGCAAAACGTTTCCCTTTGAGGACTTTTTTCATCTTGGAAAACAAAAGTCACTCGGGGCGAGACTGGGTCACTAGGGAGGGTGGGGCATGAGGGTCATGCCAGTTTTGGTCAAAAACTGCTGAACACTCAGCAGCCCTGTATAGGCAGATGATAATCATGAAATGGGCAAATGCATTGAGAGTCTTCAGAGAAATTCACTGGAGCTGAATGCAGCCTCTCACAACAGCTGGTACAGATGGGTTCCTAGAACACTCTCCTAGTGGAGGAAACCTGTAGTACAAGGGGCCCGCCCTCCAGAAGATAATTCATTTTGTTTGTTTGACGTCCCCCCTTGTACAAACTATATGTAGAATGTTAAGAGGCTTCCTTTCAGAAGTTCTTTGATTTTAAGTCTCAAAATAGTAATACTATTAGGGTTTATAAAAACAAAGTGCAAAAGCATCCCTTGAAAACTATGAATTCTGTTGTTTCTATCAGTGTAAAGAAGCTGATTGATGTTTTTGTCAGAGTGAGTTCATCAATCCCAAAAAAGTAATCACTGGGGAGCAAAGATAAGTATGTGCATGTACCACTGTGGACTCAGGTTTGGGGTTCTCCCCCAATTCCAGTTACCACTTTTTGTTGATCATTTGTGCTCTTAGCATTGACCTTTTCTGTGACATAGTTGACTACCAATGAACACTTTTAAGAAAGTTAGCTAACTTAGGCTAGGGATATGTATTTTTTTTTTTTCATACCCATGATATATGCTAAGATACTGAATGCATTTCCTTGGCTTTACTATTACTTTACTATTTGTTAGTTACAAAATGATAATTTCTTTCATCCCTACCCTGCCACAGAGACAACTGTTTTTTTTGTGGAAAGGATACTAACCTGTGACTCTGGAATCAGAAATTCCCAGTTCTGACATTTTAATAATGGTGTGATTTATAGACAAGTAACTTAACCAATCTGACCTTTTTTCTTATCTGTAACACCAGGATAATTACCTCTGAGTATTGTGAGGATTTGCCTTAAGTCCTGACTCAAAAGTATGTGACCAATAAATGTTACTTCAGTATAAAGTCCTTGATTTTTTTTCCTCAGTCCTGTAGAGTCGTGGCATTCCTAAAAGGAGGTTAGCAAGTCTGACTAGTAAGACCTCCTATTCAAGGGCTTTCATTATTAAGCCTCAAGAAAATCTTGTAGTGTCATCTGTCACTGCTTTACTATGTACCTAAGTTTTAGCCACACGAGGATACTCTAGGGGGTCAGCAAACTTTTTCTGTAAAGGGCCATATAGGGAATATTTTAGGCTTTATAGGCCACATATAGTTTCTATTACATATTCTTGTTATTTTTAGTTTGCAGACCTCTGCTCTGAGTATCTCATGTATTTTCATTCCTTCTTCCACCCAACCTGAGAAGCTCCAGTTTCCTACTGATGTGTCACAGCTGAACTCATTGCCACCTCCAGGAAAGCTGTTTAATCTTGTGTTACTGTCAAAGGCTGACTTTGTTGCAATTGGATTGGGTTATTTGCTAATGGTTGAGGAATTCATTAGATCGTGTGATAGAATTATACCCGAATCACAGTGTCTCATGAGCATGTTTGAGAGTCTGATCTGTTATTCTTTATCATGTCACTATAGTTGACTCATTTCTTCCCTCATGAGCTTCTTAGAAGTGGGGCGGCGGCGGGGCAGTGGCCGATTGGGCGTGGGCCCTCAGAATCTGGTTGACAGACTGATGGATGCCTGCATGCAGAGAGTGTCCTTCCGTACCCCCAACAGAGTGTCAGTGCTCTTCTGAAATCCCCACTCAGTGTCCTCTACAGAAATTCCTTGCCACTACAGCTTGTAATGTTCACTCCTTGTTTATTCTTTTATGACGGCACCTCTTGCAGTGTCTATGGTTTTAGGGTTATTTGCAATGGTGTCTCGTCCTTCCTGTGTGTCCTGCTCAGTTACAGTGTTATTTACTTAGCTTTGGATATTAGGCACAGAACACAATCTCTTTCATGTAGTAGATGCTGAAGGATTAGAACTATTACTTTACCCCAAACTACAAACTTAGACTTTTGAAAGTTTTTCTTTGTTTTTTTAATATGATGCCCTTGAAGTTGATCATTTATTCCTCAGTGTAGATACAATACTAAATTTTAAAGTAGGTTTTCAGTTTAAGGGCTTGAGAGCTAAGTCTGGCTTGTTCTTAAATTAGCTACATTATTAGAAAGAAAAGCAGTTACATAACTAATCACAACCAGTATAATTTCCAAGTTTTTGTTCTGATAATTTTCAGATTCTCTGTTTTTTTTCTTTTTGGCCCTGTTTTAAAACCAAAATGTGTGTGTTAAAGAAAGGACTGAAAATTATTTTCTAAGTAGGTTAGCCATGCTTTCAGAAGAAATCTTGAGCCCAAGGAATGTAAGTAGAATAAGGGAGGCTGGAGATTTACAAAGCCAGGCATGCAGTTGATTTGGGCATATGAAGGAAGAGGTCTGCATGCCAAGAGTGAGTCAGACAGTTTCATTTGTAAGTATATCATCTTCTGGCAAGAATTTGAACTACTTATTAGTACATTTTTTTTGGAAAATCCCCAAGAAATTTAATTGAGATACTGAATACTATGGGAATCTTTTTGGTGAGAGTTGCTTTATATTTTAACATCTTTGAGGTCGTTCTGTCAAAAGCCATATACCTTTTTTCTTGGAGTAGGTTTTCACTTTAATATAGGTGATAGAATAATACAGATAAGTGGAAACATACATAGTTCATGATATATCCATTCATTTATTGATCAACATTGAGTGCAAAGTGTGTGCCAGACACTGTTCTAGGCTCTAGGGACACACTGGTGAACAAACATCCCTGCCTTTATGGAGCTTAGCTTATGGGGAGAAGTAAGCAAAGTGTATGTTAAATGATGGTAAGTGCTAAGGAAGAATACTGTGCAAAGGGGACACTGAGGTGGCTGAAATTGGAGATAGGAGACCAAGAGAGAACTCAGTGAGCAGGTGACATTTGAATACAGACTTGCAGGAAGCAAAGGAATGGACCATGCCAGCATCTGAAAAACAGCACTTGGAGAAGGAACAGCAAGTGAGGCCTCGATATGGGAGTAAGCAAGGGATTGAGGTCATTGATGGGTGAGGGGGCAGTGAGGTGCCTTGGCTGGTAATAGAAATGAGATGATGGTAGCAAAGCAGGGCTTTTCCCAGCTTAATATAATATCCTGTTCTCAGTGCTGTCAAAATATTACCCGTTCTTTTTTCCCCTACTTTGTATCAGGTGTGCATACAGTCAAATCAAATTTACTTTATAAATCTAATGGATCGCAATGTAGTTTTACCCAGAATACCTACCTGATGGTATTCATGTCAGTGATTTGAGTTATTGTATATGAGTTAATGGGTATGTGGGAAGCCTTCAGTCTCAGTGCCCACCTTATCCTTTTTCTCTTTACACATTAAATTATAGGTAATATCACATTTTAGTGTAATCTTTAGGAAAAACTATTTCTTGTTCTGCAGTTAAGTAC